GGTGTACAATGTCACTAATTACTTTTGATCGCCCCCCCTGCCTCAATCAGTGGTGATGGGATTGAGAGAAAATTTGGAATTGCTGGTGGTTTGGAGGGGGGGGGGGGGGGGGGACAAGTGATAAAATCTGCCAAGAACAGAAAACGCGGTCGAGTTTGTTTATTTTAGGCAACAGAAAATGAGCATCTTTTTATTTTAAAGACGATAACGGAAAATTACGGGTGGAAATGATCATTGTTACTTTTCTGGATGAGTAGCAGCCGCAAATGTTCTCACACTAGTAAAACTTGTCGAAACTCGAACCGTACATTTTGCATGACTACTAAATCGTCGTTTTTGTTTTGAGAGAATAAACAAACTCTACCGGAATTTCTTGTACTGTACCCCGTGACGTCGCTCTTATCCCATCAATTTATATTTGGGTTGGTTTTCGGAAAACAGAACCACTCAAGACCGGCAAAAAAGCGTAGCATATGGACAAAGAAATAGCCTCACTGGAGCAAGCAGCAGTTTTATATCTTTCACGCATATTTTCACAAAATGCAATATTTTATAAATAAATCAGTTTTATTATTCGCTGTGGCTATGTGGCCGGTAACCGGTCAAGATTTACAAAACACTAAATGACCGGCAGTCCGATATTTTGACTATAGTGATTGGGGTTCTGGCGATACTGAAAATACTAATGAGGGTTAAGGACTAACCATACTTATTAGGGTTAAGACCTGAGAAGAGGTGATCAGGGTTGACGGTTAGCTTCTATTTTGGGTTGGGGTTTCCGCCATAATATTTGAATAAAATCACCATCTTGCAGCGAAACCATGGTGGGCCAGTGGTTAGAGTGTAATAGCGTGCAGACCCTACGCTCCGGGATAGAATCCACTCATATTCGAGTGAAGTTTTTTTCTTTTGAAATTGAAGAGACTTACTCTTTGACAACATTTGTTGACCAGAAACTTAAGTTTCTCAATCTATTCTAAATCGACATATGATAGTTTGGTCTTGCTGGGATTCTTAGATTTGTCCAAATTATTTTAAAAAAATATTGGACTTGCCGGTCATTTAGTGTTGTGAAAATCTTGACCGGTAACCGGCCATATAGCCACAGCCTTTATTATTTTCCAAGCAAATTTCCTTCTGTGCCTAAGAGGGAATAACACAACCAGCATAGGAGCTACGAGCCCGAAATTTATGTATCACATTTATCAATAATTGAACATAACTGCCCTCCAAAATTGTTTAAATTGGCGTTTGATTCGTGACATGGTTACTAGGCCAAGTTAATGTTGTGTTTTCACGTAATATATCAAACATGAGATGCAGTGTTTCATCACCAGATGAAACACCGAGAAGAGAGTTGAAAATACGACGCGCAGCGGAGTATTTTTGACGAACTTCGAGGTGTTTCATCTGGTGATGAAACACTGTGTCGAATGTTTGATATTTCTTCTCAAACAAAATCATTTTTGAAGGAGAAATTAAGGATGCAAATACTAAGCAGTGTTTCATCCGATTTCCAAACACTCATTAAACATTAATTTCCTTTGTATTTTCTTAATGAATTATTAATGAGTTTGAGAATGTCGTTTCTCAAACCTATCTTGTAGCACAGATCACAGTCGAACAAATTTCCTCAAACTTGACAGACGAAATAAAACACAGTCTTAAACTCAAGAATTTTAAGTTTCGTGGAAATCGCTCGATTTTTGTACAAACAGAAAGACAATTTGCAAAACACCATAATCAGAAAATTTGCTTGTATCGCCAAATCAAAATTTCGAAATAAATTTCATTTATTCAGTTGAAAGCAAGAATGATTGAACTTATACATATCCCAAATCGAGAATTATCCGTTCACTTCTGACATATCACCTTCTACTAATTAATTCATTCACACCTAATTTTCCATTTCTTCACTGTTCCTTGCTTACTCTCCAGTCGACAAGACGAATTCACGAAAAAATCTGTCAAGTTTTGTCAATGAATAAACGAGAATAAAAATTCACAAAAAAATCTGTCAAGTTTTGTCAATGAATAAACAAGAATAGTAGTGATAGAGAGTCATTTTACGCCGTTTTGGTGGATTCCCTTCATTACATATGCAGGGTTCCCTCGCAAAAAGTGGATTCCCTTCATTACATTATTTTTATTTTTTCATGTTCCCGGATGTTCCGGGATATGTTCCGGAATGTTCCGGCATGTTCCGTGTTCCGGGTTTTATCGACGGCCGGTTTCTACTGCAGAGCTGAGCCAATTTGTATTCAAATGTCGGCTTTTGAACTCGCATAACTGAACTGACGAACGGCGCGTAAAGCAGTATAGAATGTTTTCACTCACGTGGCCAGCATATATGCAAATTTATTGTAACAAAAGAATGCGTTTGGATAAGAAAAGAGTTCAACTCCCAGAGGACTGGTTTGGGACACACACATGGCCGCCGTTTCATTGTTTTGGGACACCAATATGGCCGTCGTGACGTAATGTGAAAACACTCTAACTAACCTGTTAAAAAAGTAAGGAGTTGGTCAAGGGACAACTTGGAGCGTTATCACGCAGGAAAAAAAAACAGCGCTAAAAAGGCGTTTTGAGGGTCTTTTAGAGGAGCCGCTGATGCGGATTAGGTTTTATTGTTGAATGAGTTTGTGAAACATTGCCGCATAAGTCAGTTGAAACACATGTCCAGTAAAACTGGCTATCATTTGTCCCTGGACTTGTTCCACTTCACTAGCGCTCGATTCGACTTGCATGTTTGGAACAACGTTTTAACAAATATTGGTGATAGTAAGACGTTTTTCTTAGCAAGGAAGGCGATTGCAAGGAAGATAGCGCTTTCCAAATCTACTCGCTTCCCGGCTCCCTTCCTCTTTGTTTTTTTTTTTCGTCCCTA